CAAGTTCCAACCCCACAACCATTAATGTATAGGCCTGTCATCCTAAATCTTCCTGCAAAAGAATTTAGCCCGTGAAGCTATAAAATTTACCCCTTCTCTCATTCTTCCTCTCTCAAATCTCCCCCATCTAGCATGTGCAGCCTTCCACCACATTTCTCCTTCTCCCTAAGAAGATCTCCTAAGCCATTTTCCATGAAAAGCCCGGTTTAACTCCACAATAGACTTCAAACCGAAACCTCCCTCTCAAACCGGTTTTTTAACCTCCTCCCACCTAATCAAATGATACTTTTTGTTATCATCCTCATCACCCCAAAGGAATTTACATTGAATGTTTTCAAGTCTTTTTTACAATGTTGGTCGGAATTGTTAAGATGGATAAATAGTAGACTCGTAAATTAACAAGTGTACTCTTAATCAAAGTGAGTCTCCCCACTTTAGAAAGGAATTCCTCTTCCAACCCGCCAACCTCCTACCAAACATGTCAATAATGGGCTCCCACATGTGCTTATTATATAGTATCATACATAAACACACAACATCTTCATCCGTGTGTTTACATTTCATTACGTCTATAATTATTCTACAATTTTCTTTCCCTATAATTTCTTAAAAGTGTTCTAAACAAACCTTGATTACCTTGATTCAAGAAAATTCAGTTATGCTAATCAACTTGAGGGAAGAAAATTAAAAGGTAAAAAACTTCAACTAAAACACAGAGTAAAACAAGTGAGGGAATGTTATTTTCTAACATTTCTTTGTAGGTTTTTACAATGTCTTTACATAACAATCTAAGGTTTTTTATAAAAGATTTACAAAGAAATGTTGCAAAGCTTACTCAGGAGATAGGAGATCTCATAAGTAAACTTAAGGAAATGAAGCAACAAACTACTAATTTATCAAGAGCCAAAAACCGAATCCAAGTAGAGGAGACCCATTCATATGATGATTTGTAGGAAGGACCATCAAATTGAGAGGAAGAACATAAAGCCGTGGGAGAAAAGAAAACTGAATTCGCAGGAGAAAATGAGACCAATGTCGCGGGAGAAAAGGAGAAAAATGACGCGCGAGAAGAGAAGATTGATGTTGCGTGAGAAGAGGAATGTAATGCCATGGGAGAGAAGAAAATGGAACAAGAGATAATCGATGTGGTACACTTCTCATCTAACTAACAAACAATGAACACACTTACTAAGGCCTTGCCAAGAAAGAATTTTGAGGACTTAAAGCTCCAAGCTTGGCAGGATTAACATCTATGTCTAGCTTCAGGGGAGTGTAGAAATATTAGGAAGTAATCTAAGAGAAGAAATTGAATTTAAACTTGATACTAAAATTTTAATAGGAGGAAGATTTCCTAAATGCTTTAGAATAATATTTTTTTTCTACTTTTTGGGTAATACAGATGTGGTATTTTAACCTTATAAACAATGTAATACTGTAGAAGGGAAATTTATGAAATAATATTAACTCAAGGCTTCATATCAAATGCGATATTATATAGGTACTTATAATGCTTCAATGTAAAATTCTAACCTAAGTATGATTTAAGCATTATAATAGAAAATCTAATATCTAAAAGAATTGAAAATATAGATAAAATCCCTAAAGTTATCAATGATATAATATAATCTATGCTATTACATTTAATTGTAAATGAGGTTAGAAATACAGCCTGGCTTAGTCTAGTTACTAATTTATCTGCATCCTGAAACATGCTCTGTTTACAATCATAATTTAGAAATAACTTTTCTCTCCTTCATAAAATTCCCCATGAAGATGGAGAATGTGATTTGGCAAATCTACTAGGAAGTTAGAAGTAAATTGGGTTGTTGGGGTGGTTATGGTAGTTTGTGAAATGGGTAGCTGTGGGTTGTCTAGAACTAGAGAAGGCTATACAAAGAGAATACCTACTTCAGATTAGCAATGGAAATTGATTAAATATGTATTCACTTTCTCCTTCTGTCTCCTCTCTGCTAAATCTCTTAATATCCCCATAAATTCTTCCCACAAAGCTCTTGAATTCCAGCATATACAAGATTTACTTGTATTAGAATTTAAATCCACTTCTGTAAGTTTGTAAGATTAATTTCATAGAAAACTTTAAGAAAATAAATAACAGCAAATTTTAATAGATACTCAGATTATTGATATAGGGAAGGTTTCCCTATTTCATTTTTCACTATAGGCAACACAAGTTAGTCTTTCTATCCTCCATGTACAAACAGAAGTGAAAGCCCTAGCTTCTCATTCAAAGATACAAAAAGCTTAATGAATGATATATAAGAAAGTAACAACTATAAATTTGCAGTAATATTAATCATCAATCAAGTTCTATCTGTTTCTCCATAGGTTATAGAGAATTGAAAATTATACCAAATATCAGTTTGAAGTTTGATCTGCTGCTTATTCACAAAAATAATGACGAAAACCTTAGATTAAATTCTTTACGATAAACTCCTTTTAACATGAAAAAGATTTCACATATTCCATCCTTAAAGATTTCTTTCAGTTCAATTTAAGGAGTTCCAGATCCTAAATATTGTTCATATTCCACTTTTCTATTTTTCTGACCCAAATCCTACCGGAAGAAACTAAGCAAAAGAAAGAGACCTGGTATAATGTTTTCGAAGACAACCAGGACTGTCTCCATGGAACCATGAACAGTTGGAAGCCATTCTCTAGTAAGTATACTAAATGGTATCTTAAGATACTAATGTTTCAGAAAAGATGAAGGACAATAGTTAGTAGCACACTTTAACCTTCAAACAACACCACATGTATAATCTAACTTGCTTCACCAACTTTCAGTACGTTATATGTATGGCATTACAGAAGTAGATGAAAAGAATACCTTTTCTTTTACATTCCCAAGAACAATTCTGTAAGGGGCAAGTCCTGGACGTTCTGGCAGCCTTGGTTCAAGGAGCTTCTGAAAGCTGGATCTTCCTATCTGAGACTCTGCAAATAGTTTCCTCTGAGCTAGGAGTTGACTAGATGAGAAAGAACTCCGCAGTGTCCCAACTTGCTGAGAACCATTAGAAGTGACAGTGTTTCCATTTGCAACTTTGTCTGAACTTTGATTGGAATTCTGAAAAGAAATTTCCACGTCGGAAGTCCCCAGACCATCCTAAAAGATTTTAAAGAAAAAACAAAAGAAAGAAAAGGGACTAAAGGACTTGCTAGCTTCAGTGCTGATAGTGAGAAATGAAAACAAAGTAAAGCAGCCAAAAGAATATCATACTCAAATATCAATGTCTAACAATTTGCTTCACCTGACAGTTCAACGGCTTGTAATCAGTCCCAGGAAATTCTAGTTTTGGATAGTGCGATCCACTGTCATTGCATTCTGCGTAAAGGTAGTCCATGACAAAACATATCTATCAAGTTACTTACTAATAAGCTATTACCCCAGATACTATCAACAGCTGATTGAAGTATAGTTATTAAAGAACCAAAAACTTGCCATTGATGCATGATGTATGTGTGAAAGTGAATAGTGCATGAAATATTCTTTCTAGTAAAACTGAAATTTTATAGTGGAAAAAAAATTACATAGGCATTTTGCAAATGGAAATTTTACACTAGTATTTGATTGCATTTTGATTGCATTCCATATTACATTAGCGTTTGTCTTAAAAAATATAAACTTACTTGTGTTCCATGATAAGGGTAAAAAAGTATTACACTTAAACAAGTTAGGGAATTATCTAATTATCCAACTGGAGTTTCATGAAAGCAAATAATTTTATGAAAAGAAGAAAAGCTCCATAAATATAGATAATCTAAATTGAGATTTAAATGTGTAAAATACATTAAAATACATTGATTATCATTTTTTTGTGTGGAGATTCTACAGTGCTGTAAGGCCTTTTTCCTGCGCGGCCACTGGTAGTCTGGTACCCAGCTCTCAATACCAACAATATTTTAACGATATTCTGGTATTTGTTAATATATCTTCAAAAACATATTGAATACCATGACACTTTTGAAAATACTAATGCTATTTTCTAAGGATATCATAAAAAATACAACAATATGTCAAACGTTACCTTCAAAAATTACCATAACACTTAAAAAATACCAAAAAAACGTTTTCGTTAAGTAAATAATTATTTTTCCTTTATAGTCATAGCTTTCTCATATGAAAGGAACTCTTCCTACAACTGTTACATACTGGAAGACATGTTTAATTCACCTTATTTTCTATGAGCTTATAAGTTATATAATTTATTAATTCTCTAATAATGTATAAATTTATACGAAATTTTCCAAAATAAGCTGTTGAAATTGTTAGTGCCACACAAGCTATGAACTCTATTAGTTTATTTGTGTTTGAGAAATATATGGCTTATAAGATGTTAGTTCTATCAAAATAACGAAGAAGGCAATTTCTTTATTTTTAATAAATAAAATAACAGAACATATTTTTTTAAGAAATTCAATGCTCTTTCTTTTAGATAAATTAATATGAAGTATTGGCTTTAAATCAATTTTATCTTTCTATTTTATGCTAATATTTAATTTTCTAATAATAATTAATAACTATTTAATAATAACTTGAAAATATATGTTGTTTGACTAGGTAAAAAGTATTAATTAGCTAATAATTATTTAATATTCAAGTGCAACATGCTCAATCAAAATATTATTATTATTAATTTTAGAAACACACAGTATAAAGAATTTTAAGTCAACTATATTTTGTCCTATTGTTCTTAAGAAACAAACAAAAATTCAATATACCTATTTACTACTGTTGCCGAACTAAGTGTTATAATTGGGGAAGAGTTGCCATACTGCAACAGGAAGAACGAAAAAAGAAGAGAATCCACAAACATGTTTTGAAGGAATACAGTTTAAAATTTGTAAAATTTGCAGAAGGTAATTGGGTTTTTTGGTTGATCAACAACAAAGTCTTTGAAAAGTTTAGAAGTTCTTATAAATAGAAGTTAGGAGCCACTAACTTTGTAAAAAAGTTATAGCAAAAGTTCAGAAACTATCTAACATATCCAGTTTTTTCCAAATTCTTTCCTAGATCAGAGTTTGTTTGCGGAAGATATAGGTTGCAAGTCCTATATCTAAGTTTGACGCTGCAACACACTCAATTACAAGAAGTCATATATCAAGCTTGACACTGCAACACTGCCAAGTGAAGTTAAATGCACCGTGAACAGAAAGACACAAAAGCAACATTGAGAAGCAACTCATCAGTTACCACTAATCACAAAGGGAAAAATCAGCCACATCTGATGCCAAGCGTGCCTTATGTAGATATATCTCCATAGCCTTCCTCCAATAACCTTCACAATTTCTAATAGTCGATAACCTCTCCTTATACCTCTACTTTGCCTTTGAAACCTCACGTCCCTCTTTCCACAAATACTGATTATTCTATTCATCATACTCACCCCTCATCGCTCTAACGCGTAAGACAACCACCTCCATCTTTGTGAGTATCATTATTTTTTTACTATCATCTCTTTGTATGAGTCTCACATTTTTGGCTAGAACTGACCCTCTTTAGTAGAAACCAATGGCGGAATAACTCCAAGCTCTAACAAGGACTGAATTTGATATTTGGTTGACATGCCTCTAGAAAAATCTATGGTTAGTCATAAATTGGTCAATAAAATCAAGAATCAAGTAAACATTTTAATAAAAAGAAACTAGGTAGACTTGTTTTGAAGGGTCTCATGCAAGAAGATGGTATTGACTAAGGAGACCTTTGCTCCTGTGGCTCAATATACCTATCTGAGATCTATTGCTACTGTAAGGAAAAAAAAAATGCAATTATTTTAAATGATGTTAAAATGTTTTTCTCAACGGTGATCTTTCCAAAGAAATATACATGAAGTCTCCTCCTGATTATCGTTATCCTCCGAATAATATACATCATCTTTGCAAGGTCTTACATGGACTCAAATAACAACCTCAAGTTTGGTTTACAAAATTTATCTCATTGTGCATCAATTTGGTTTTTAAGTCTAGTTCATATGATCAATGCTCTTTTCATTTGCAAGATGAATCTAGTATGTAGTAATCAAGATGAATAATGATCCTGTTGTTTCTCAACAAAAAATTGAGATGAACGATTTTCATATTTTCAGTTTCTTCATATGTATAAAAGTATTACTTGATCAATCTGGTTATTTGTTGTCTCGAGCTAAATATGCCACACATCTTATTTCTCACACAGGCTTGACTGATAGTAATTCTGTTGATGCTCCTATTAAACTCAATACTAATTTCTCAGCTAATTACGGTACTTTTCTTAGTGATCATATGCTATTTGGACAACTAATTGGAAGTCATATCTATCTCATTATCACTAGTCTTGGTATTGCAGGTGCTATTCATATAATTAGTCAATTGACTGCCGCTCCTTGCAAACTCATTTTTCTATACCTCTCACATCCTTTGTTCTATAAACAAGGCTTTATTTTATAGACTTCCTGATGTAAGCAAAGAAAGGGAAAAGAATTCCCTTAAAGGGAGAATCAGCCAAGGGGGAGATTTCCTTCCTAAATTGCATAGGAAATCAAGGCAAAGAGGAAAACAAATCTCATGTCTAAATGGGAGATTGAATCTCACAGATTTTAGGAAGATTATTGGGGCCCTAATTTTCCAAAATTACTTCCCCTAAATCAACCACTATTAATAAAGACTTTCTCTATTTGAAAACAGAGATCATATCTATTCTATTTAAGAAAACAAGCTTCTTACTTGTTACAAATTTTCTATTCTATTTTATATTCAATTTCCTATATAATTTCTCCATAAAATTATGAGATTATTCTTCTCATTATTCACATAACCTACAACTATAAATAGACATTCAATTTCTATTTGTAATAATTCAAGTTTGAGAATAATAAAATTATAAAGTTTTAGTTTTCAACTAATTAGGTTTTTGTCAACCTTCTTATTGAATGGAAATTGATTCTACTTATCAAGATAAGTTCTTAAGGCATTTTACTTATTTTCTTTCAAATTTATTTCTATCTTATCAAGTTCATTCTTGTAGCGTTTTTAATCAATTCAAACTATCTCAATTATCTTAATTCATAATTCCAGACGAATTATTTGGTTAAGTAGGAAAGATTTGTTAAGAGTTTTATAATTTTGAATACTAATGCTATATGTGGAGTTTTTTATCACGTTAATTGATTTTGAGTTCTGCATTACTCCCACTTAGCTATTCATCCCTCAGCTCTTGAGCTTATTCTGAGGTTGGGTATATTGAGTAGAGATGTAAAGCTTGTCTCTCTCTCCAAAGTTGATCCTAATATCAAGCTATTGTTGATGCTACAGTTGAACTTCTATGATTATATCAGTTATGTCAAGGTATCAGAGTGTACATTCATCTAAAAATATCATTTCGTTGAGATAATTGCAGTGCTATCCAAATCGCACTATTAATCTTGTTTTGCCTCCTCTAAGAACTAGACTGCAGATATCTTCATTGAAGTTCATCAACTTAATCAATTTTGTAAATTTAATTGTGAACTCTAATTGGCAGATTCTCTATCACCTTGGATTTGAGGGGCATGTAACAACTTAGGAAATAAAATATATTGTTAACAATATAAGTAATATATTGTCAACCATAAAGGAAACAATTATTCATGGTAAATATTTGCTTTTCTTTATAGTCACAGCTGTCATGCATAAATAGTATTTTTACGTAAAACTGTTAGATTCTGTAAATCACACAATAAAATTCAAACATTTAACTTTTCCAAATGTCTTCACAAATATTAGAAAAGTAGTTTTCAAGAAAAAAAAAATCTATTGGTATTTCTGAAGTTTTTCTATGAGTAATACCATCGTACCTCAAAAAATATTAATATAATTTTCGAGTAACTCAATATGTGAGATACTCTTTTAAGGTATGATGGTATTTCCAAATGTGCCTACAAAATGATCTAACAAATACCAAGATCCCCTCAATAACCGACCATATTTTCTATACTCTTTTAGGTATTAAAATATTTTGTGAAGTACTTCAAACTAAGTTAGTATTTTCTAACTATAACTTTACTTCTTGGGTTACCCTTCAGAATACCAAATGGAATTTTAGAAGTACTTATTTGTCTAAAAAAATATTACAAAATACTTTCCCAGGTCTTCCAGTATTTTTAGTGGTATCTGCAAATATATCATTTCTAATATCAGCACCCAAAACATTGACTTTTGGAACCATAATATTTCCCATTTACATTACCTGTGCAAGAGGGTAGATCAGCTCTAGCAGGAAGTTGTGTAGGAAAGGGTGGAGCCTGTTGGCTATGAAGCTTCAATTGACTTCTGCCATAAGGTTGGTTCCAGCTCTCATGGCGATCCTCCGATGAAGTTTCTGAAGAGAAATATTGAATCAGAGTCAAAATTTTGGTATGGGAGGGTAGGTATTTTCATTACAGCACTGCAAAAGTTGAGAGAAATTATTCATATGCAGTCTAATATTGAAGATCTACAGTTTGAAACTTCATCAGAACTACAATAGGAAAACTAATAGCACATGCATAGTCATCATCGACAAAGATTTCACAGAAACAAAAGTCTTTCTATTCAATGTTTTTTGAAGTACATTCACGCAGCATATAGTTGCACATAAAGACTTGAACCCTGTCACTCTTGAAGAATGGGCACCTAGCAAGGCACCCTATCATATTCAATCTTGTTGCATTTTTAGGCAAAAAAGTAAATTGCACATTAAAACATTCTCATTGCATATAATGTATGGATCAATTACCATGCAATTTAGTCCAAAAAGCAGGCAATAACCAATGTAGAAACAACAATGACATAGTTTAATTTTCTTCATTCCATTTCTGCCCTTGGGTACGAAATGATAAACATTTTACTACTCACTCAATGAAGTTATAGCCAAAATAATCTAAGGCCAACAAAATTAAGTAAAAAAAATGGAACTAATCCAAATTTTAAAAATAACAATAATTATTAATAAACTACGAGGAAGCACACAATTGGTAAACAACAAACATAATGCACATGCATACATAATTCTCACTGACAGCTGCTGTCAGAGATAAACCTCACAGTCACTGCTTCCCTAGGCTGTGAACTGAGAACTACATCAGTACTGCTCAAATATATGATGTGCCTACATAAAAGGTTATTGTAACACAACCTCCTCAGGAGTCATGCAAGGTACTTATCAGAGAAACCAATTAGCATTGAAAAAGAACAAAGATGACACCATAAAAGTGCAGAATACTAAGACTAATAGGATCTAAATCACAGCAAACCTTTTTCAAGAATTTCATGCGCCGCTCGTGACAGCTCATCACTGCAACGGTTCATGGATAGTTCAAACCTGAGGCTATCCACTTCCCTTATGTAGAGATCAACAGCCATCCACCTAGATAACAGAGATACATCTTTTGTGACCTGAAGAAAAAAAAAACACTTGATGGTATCATGCACTTCACAAAAGCTGTAGCATACCAAAACAAAAAAGTCCTACTCAACTCAAATCATAGTTCCAATATATAATTGGGATAAATGGCAAATAGCTGGGTTTCAAATCCAGAACTGATGTTTTCATAAATAAACATATATATAAAAATATATATACACCAAGAGAGAGAGAGAGAGAGAGAGAGAGAGAGAAAAATTCTTAGAGAAGGGCAAACATTTTTGTTATAATGATCAGAAAAAGTAAAATAATAAGTTCTATTAACGAATAAAGGTTTTATGCATCTGATGGTGTTTCAAGGAACTTATTCAGATGAAGGCTACTCCTTGTAGCAGGTTATAGTTTAACAATATTAGTATGCATGTAAATAACCTCAAGTTCAATGGTAGCCAATGGTACAGCCATAACAAATTCACGGATGTTGCACTAGACATGAAAGCATAATCCTCCAATTAGATTTAAGGTTCCCATGTATACCACCAATATCAATTAACTTCAGGTGCTACAGGAACTAGAAGACAACCAGAAATTTCTGATGAGCAAAAGTGTAAGGACTACAGAACCTTCAACTGCTTATTCTTATCTTAGCAGTTTAGTTAGAACCCCCAAATTTCAGCTCAAGTCTTCAGTAACTAAAAGAAGAGGAAAGATGACAATATACAGATACTTGAGATAAGCAAGCTATTTATTTTATAATTTCATCATTGGTGGATCCGTTTGTATCTTCAACCCATTTAAGGCTCTGTTGAAGGAAAAGAGATGCATTCACTGGAATGCCAAAATACTATTACAAAAACCTGCTTTCCTGAGCCCATAAATGCTGCTTTCTGTAATACAAATCACTCCACTCAAACTAAATTTTTAATGGGCCAAGTTAGATACTCCCCAGTACCATGGGCAAGATTTAAACTTTTCTTGTGGAATTTGAATAAATAGTTTACAGATACACAGACATATGCATTACAAAATACTTCAGAAGCCTTACTTTTGCAGTGACATTTGGGTTTCCATCTCTATCACCCCCCATCCAAGATCCAAATTTTATTGGTGTGCAAGTTAGGGGAAGTGGCTTCCCTGTATGCTGAGGATAAAAAATAAAATGAAAATCATATGAGATTAGAAACATTAGCTTGACTGAAAAGATCTAGCAGTTTCAGAACTAGAATAGAAGGAAAAGAGGCAAACCTTCTTTAAAGCATTGCTGACACGCCGCAAGTAATGAGGTATAGCTTTCCAGAGAGATTGCTCCACAATATTCAGGCCTGTGACAAATTAACAAAGGGTCTTTTTTAAGTGCAACTAACTTAACAAAAAAAAAATCTACCAAGAACCAAAGCTTGCAATTCTGATATTTAAAACTCAAGAAACATACCAGCCCTAGCTTCATCTACAGGTGTGGGTTTGTGACGCCTAAGCTCATCTGTCTGCCATATTGAAGTTATCTCTCTTACCTACAAGTCAAAGAAACTACAAATGAATGGAAAATAAGGGATAAGGGGAACAAACTCCAGACATAACCCAACCTAGACCAGTCTTAGACATTTTCTATTGGCTCTGGGAGTGCAATGCAATATGTTAAGGTGGGCTAGAGATACCAGATCTTCAATCAGCATTTCTCGATCTTCATGGCTAAGATCAGGCCTGTCGTTATAATCTAAAAGATGCTGCAAGAAGGGCCAGACTTATTTTTAGATATTTAGCACTAACACAATGTTTGACATTAAAATTGAACATATTAATTGGTGTCAGTTCTCCAAAAACTCACGGCAATTCTGATGTGTTTATACTGCAAAGTACGCCGATTAATTTGAGTGGGATGTGCAGTAAGAACAATTTCAACCTCCTGCAACCAGAAGATTCCAAGAGTTATAAGAGAGAATACAAACAGTTCAATGCCCTATCAAGATCAAACCAATCTTACAGTAAAATTATGTCCATTTTTCATTTAGAAAAGTGCTGTGAAGAAAATTGTTCCTATTTTTAACTTTAAAAAACATCAATTATTTTCATTATCTAGGGCTATAACAGAAGTTCCACTAGACAAAATCTAGCATGTATTTGCCCCAGCTAAGCTGATTTCTATGTTTTTCCATTAATAAAAATCATAATAAGTTCCAACCTGTTTATAATGTAATCAGAAGTTGTCTTCTGCCTTTTTTTTTTTTTTTTTTTGGCCTTTCCAGAATGTTAGCAACCAAACAAACAGTGTCAGCAAGAAATTAAGTAAAAGAGTTTTTGTCAAAATATGTACCTGCTTGCAAATAGTATTGTAAAGCTCTTCTGGGGAAATTCCACCCTGCACCAGCTTCCCAAAAATGTCATCGCAAGATTTTGACAGATGTGCAACATTTCTTCCCTTACGGACCCTGCATGAAGCAATATTAGTTGGCTATGACAGAATTGATACAACTTATTTTTAAATTTAAAAGTGAAAGTACATAAAAATCTGATAAGCAAAAAATCATTTTTAATTTACAGACTATTTTGCAAAACAAAAAGATCCATTAGAAGTGGACTACACAAGATAAGTTAATTGTTCTAATGTTCCATATTTCTTACCCAATCACTCTCCAGCGATTCATAACATCATAGAATAAAGACGGATAGGATAAGAAATGCCCGGGCAGGCAACTATGCCAAGCCTTCCAATATTTGCCTAATTCTACTAACCCAGTCATCTATTCCTTTTTCTTATTTGGAAATAAACCCATTCATCTGTTCCTGGTATAGTAATGAAGAAATCAAACTCAAAACCCATGTCAAGAACTTTTAAATGTTTCCGTTGTTGTAAGTTTTTCCAAAATCAATCCCACTGTAAACGCTCCCCCATTTACCAAAATATTGTAACTTTAACTGCAGCAAAGGACTTATTACGTTACATATGTTCTGAAAAACTCAGCAAACTAAAAGGACACGTCAAGAAATAAATAACAAATTGCCAAGACTAATTTACCTGTGGTGGGTCTCTGCAATTCCCATCAGATTGAGGTAATGGCTAAACGCACGGGCAAGCGTCAAGGCTTCCTCTAATGACATCTTCGACATTTCCAATGCTAGCTGCTTTTCTAGCAGCTCAGCTGTACCCTCGATACCCGCCAACCGCATATTACAAGCACTCTTATAACACGTAATCAACCCCATAAAAAGGTCAGTCACACTATCAAGTATAGAAAATCTAATTTAAGGTCAATTTAATAGGTAAGAAAACAAAGTAAAAGATAATAACATAATAGATGAAAACCATGAATCCTGAAATGATCCGCGTAATTGATGTCTGAATGAAACTATAAATTTGTATATTAAAAATTACGCTTCTTATAGACAATTTGTTCGTGTTCTCCAAAGGCATTATAATGTGCACCAAATACTGTCTTCTTCTGTTGTGCTTTTCCAGTGATTTGTCAAAAACAAAAGAGAAGACGAAAAGTTAGATATCGGAAAACCAGAATATTCACCATCAGAAAAGAAATGAACCAGAAAATAGCCTTTATTCTCTGGAGATGGTAAATAGAATAACAAAACATTTGCAGAGTGGAGAAACTTTTTTCCTTTCCTTTTCACAAAAACACGGTGCCTTTACAAACTCATTTTCTCCATCTCGCCTTTTCTCTGTTCTTTTCTCTCAGCATTCGATCAGGAATACAGTACTGGCTTAACAACAGACTAAATGAACACTCAGCAGAAAAGAAAAAAAAAACGAAACAAACATATCAAAGCAATTCAGAGTGACAACATACATTAAAGATGATCAGAACCGAAATTTAAAAGGAGAGAACCAGACTGACAAGGAATAAAAAAAAGCAACAGAACTGTATAAAAGAAACACCTGAGCAAGGATTCTATTCCTTTCGAGTTTCTCCATAAACTTGCTCCCAACTTCTCTCTGCAACACATCGTTGAGAAGATTCCCAAGCAATTTGCAGTCATCCTCGAAGCTCTGGAACGAGATTTCCTCAGCTATATCGTCCGTTGTATCCGTCATCTTATCAGCCAGAAACACAGGAGTACTAAGAACAAAGAAGAAACACTTGATATATAGACAAAGCTGGAGATACAGAACCAGAGAGAGAATGCGAGACAAATGAGAGACAGAAAAAGAAGAAGAAAGGAAGGGAGAGGGTGAAGCAGGGAAGTGGACGGGAGAGGACTCTTCGTAATTGTACGAATATTTCTGTTAATGTGGGGCCAATGTTTTGTACCGCGAAGAAAGAGCGGACACGTGGCAGTCACTGCGGGTTTCAAGAGGTTGTTCGAGTGATTTCCTTTCCTTTCCTTTCCTTTCCCTTCCCTGTCCTGGAGGTAATGAAAAGGTCTCCAGTCTCCCGGTCACTAGATTCTGGGAAAGACTTTCCCGAGAAAATTTTGCACCGCGAAGAAATAGCAGACACGTGGCAGTCACTGCGGGTTTCTTTGAGTGATTTCCTTTCCTTTCCCTTCCCTTTCCTTAGAGGTAATGAAAAGGTCCCGAGTCTCAGGGGGATTCACGCGAATTCTTTTCCAAAATTTTCTCGGGAAAGTCTTTCCTAGAATCTAGCAACCCAAAAAACGTGTTGCTTCATAAAAGAATACGGTGCGCATTAAGCGAATCATACCAGCTGATTTTCTTTCCATTTAAAAAACAGATTCTAATTAAATTTTTAAAAAGAAGGAATCTTTTTGCCGGTATATAGTTTATACTGGAATCTAATTTTAAAGAAATTAAAATTACATACAATTTATACACTTTAATAAATTAATGTAACCTTTTGAACTAATAATGACATAATTAATAATAAAATATTTTTATAATTAAAATCATACATATTTTACAATTTAATTTAAATATAACGTATGAAAGCGACAACACCGAGTAATTGATGATTCATCATTATAATACAATAAATTAGATAGTGCTACGGTTGATTACTCACCAACTTTGTAATTAATTATTTATTTATCTCTATAATTCCAATCCCAATTGACTATAAAAATCAAATGGGTCCTTGTTTATATAGTTATAACATTATTGTCGCTGGATATTAACCACTGCAGTGGTAATGAAAAGTAACACGGTAAGTACTTACCAATTGTTACAAAATATATATGTATATATATAATTTAAATTAAATACATTACTTATTTTAACATTATCCTAACGATATATTTCTGGACTCATTCATATCCATTTATCAACCTAATTAGTAAAACATATTTAACGTTAAATTCAATAATAATTAAAAAATTCAAGCTCCAAAAAAACTCTTAATCACGGAAGATAAGCTTCCGGGGAAAAGTTGTAATGAGAAATATTTGTGGTCCGACAGCCCATGTGTGTGAAATACAGTTAAAAAGAACAAATAAATAAAATATGAAGCCCGTGAAATCTGATCCCAATTGCCTTTTTGTGATTATCACAGACTTCCTGAATAGTGCAGGTAACATGGGTAATTGTAAAACCAGCAAATTGTTATTAATTATGTTTGTATAGACTATTTTTTTGGAAGTTAGAGGAAAAATAATAATAATAATAAGAATATTCAAGAAAATGAGATAAATTATATTATTTTTATAATCTGTACGTAAAATAAAAAATTTTAAAACACTATAAATTGAAGTTTTTATTATGTATTTGAGGAACTTATTAACTTCAAACACATTCAAAAAAAAATTATATATTCCATATTGGTTTGAATAAATTCCATCACACAAAAAATTTTGCCATGATTGTCAACAAACACTAAAATTCATTAAATTTTAATAATTTATAAATTAATTCAATATAGCTTGTGAATACGTACAATGTATGTATGTATGTGTATGGTCCCATGAGTTGTGGTTGTATTAGGGCGATTAACGAGAGAGACGTGGTTTGTAGAGACCCAAAAGGGCATGTTGCCATCTTGCACTCAATTTTGTTTTGCTGCATTGAAACTCGAAAGCAAATGTGTCCGCCAATTTGGACGACAGTGACAAAGGGTACAATATTTTGTTTTAATCAAGACACGTTATTTTCTTGTCCTATAATTTCAAGGGGAGATAATAACTTGAGAGTTTTTTTTTTCTTCTTAAATTTTTTTTGGGGAACAAAATGTGTTTAATATATTTATTTAGAAGTAGTACCTATAAAAAAATCATATTTAAATTATCAAAGGAAGCACATAATTTTCTTATTGTCACGACTAAGTGTTATGGGTTAATTTTTGGGGGTTGGATATTATGAAAATTCAGAGATTTGGCTGTTTATTTATTTATTTATTTTTTTGTCTTGGTGGAATTAAATGGAGATGCTGTTGTGGGGAGATTTAATTTTTTATCTTTGGGCTCATGTAGAGCCGCTTTTTTCTGCGCCATAAGATTTGTGTTCATGCATTGCTGTTTTCTTTTGTCAGGAAGAAAGAAACCAATTTTAATTCAACCATAAAATCGCTCATTTTTGTTATGAGAATCGTGTGAATAGTGTCATCACAGCATGAGATTTTCTAAGGAAACGTATTTTAAGCAAATAAATTGTTAAAGGAGCCCATGGGTTTAGAAGCAATAGGCTGCATATTTTGATGGGTGGCACGATATAATGTATGATGTGTATGTATGTGTATAGAGTTAAAATGGGTGTTGTTGAGGTGTATGTACACTTTTATTATTTCAGTGGAGGTATAAGTATCTCATTTTCAAACTCTCAGGAATCAAATGAACTTCAAACCCTACAAGGATTTCTCAACAGTCATAGCCTCTCTCTGAATCTCTCCTAGTTATTCTCGTATTTTCTTGCTTTTCTTTTCTATTTTCTTTATAGATCTTTATGCTGTGTGTTTTGTTAATTTTTTTAATAGGTATTTAATGTACGGTAAGGTTTAAGTAACTACACAAAATAATAATTACAAAATTATATCATGTTTGAGAAGATTATGTATTAACGTATAATAATGACAACTGTTTTGTTTGGATTGATAGGATTGTATAGTTATATATTCAGTAAAATTATCAATTTATCTCTACCTTATTATATGTAATATTAAATGAAAAAATATAAGAAAAAAAACTCATTAATTTGTAATTAAGTCATTTAACTTGTAAAATTATTTAAATTATAATTTTTAATGAATTTTTTTTCTTAAAATTTAATATAAAGGATAAAAATTTAATTTTTAACAAAAACTCATTTTACTTAATTATTAAAACATCAAAAAATAAATTTGCTATGAAAAATACAAATTTAATTTTTAACAAAAACTTATTTAACTTGTATTTAAGTCATTTAACTTGTAAAAAATCTAATAAAAATTTATTTAATTTATAATTAAATCATTAATTTGTAAAATTATTTAAGTTTTTTATTATTAACATAAAAAAATATTAATTTAAAACTAAACATTTTTATTTATAATTATAAATTAAAAAAATTTAATAAATTATCTATTACATAATAGTTATTATTATAATTTATGTGACATAAATAAATTAAATAAGTAAATTTTATTGAGAATAAATTTAAATTTTGTTAATTTTTAAATAATTAAATAATTACGTACATTTAATCAACTTACTTATTTTAATTATCCTCTTTTTAATACGTATGTAATCAAGTTTTTTTAAAAAAATAAAAAATAAGAAAATGCATAATCGATATGATAAACTTTCTCCCTCTTGTACAACTCTTTAATTTTAACATAAGATAAACTGATTAAGTTGTTTGTCTAATTTTCTCACATATATATATAAATACACACACACATTAGTATTTTTTTTCTACTTTGTTGAGCATTTACTACACCTTTCATGTTTTTTTCGAGATGTGAATATCATGTAATACATAAATGTGTAAATCCTCATAAAAAAATTATAACATCCACAATATCTTTATTGACTTAGAATACAAGGTTAATAGGAGCAATATCATTTTCTCTCTCAAATATAAGAGTTAAAATTGATTTAGATTGGAATAATATAGAGAGAGGAGAGAGAGGAAGAAATGACTATAAACTAGTTGGAAAACTACTTTAATGGTCCACATTCTGAAATTGTAGGTTTTGTTAATGCATAAGAGTTTAGTAAGTATATACACGCTTTGTTCATAGTAAAAAGTCTCAATTCAGATTTTTATGAAGAAAATTGAATAGATAGGTAACAAACTGGATATAATACAATGGTTCATTGATTAGGTAGACACAATTTGAAATAATTATAAAGCCATTTTCATAAAAAAAAAAAATTAATCAGTACATACCTTGATTGATATTGTGTTTGATGAAGTAAGTTAACAGTAGAAACAGAATAACGATAGGAAGAGAAGTAAGCAGAAGTAGAAGTAACTTTTCACAACAAGCAGATGCAAAACCAGGAGCATAATATGGAAACAGAAATAGATGAGAAGAGGAGAAGCAAACAACGGCAAAGAAAGAATAACAGTTTTAGGTATAAGAAAGATAAATTTAGATTTAAAAGTAAAACAAAAATTAATAAATAATTGTGATGGTAAAACATAAAGAAAAATTTTCGACCGTTAAAAATAACCGAATTGTTGATTTAAAAAATCTATAAAAAAAAAAAAGAAATAATCTACCACTAAAAATTACATAATCAAGTATATCATTTATTTAAAAGTGATTCAAATAAGACAAACCCAGTAAATTATTATATGGCACATTAATGGTTTATTAACCAAATATAATATTTACAGGTTGTGATAGAAAACAACTGTAGAACATTTTCCTTCAAAATTTCTTAATTAATTGTTTTTATTTATCTATCAATATTTGTTATTTCAAATTATATATATTTTTGTACGTTATTTGTGTGGAAGGATTTTATAGTGATGATAAAATTACTTTATTTTATAATTTCTAACATTGTAAAATTTTATTCATACATAATTCGCGTATACATAATTCCATTAATTACAGTTTTATCAATAATTCTCTTATTGAACTAAACTGTCAATTTGGTCATATGCTTAGTTGATTTTCATAACTTTGTTAATAACAAGTTTTTAATTAGTTTCTATACAAACTGCTAGATGGTCTCTCTGTTTTCAAGTAGTAACTCAGTCTCCCTCTTACTTACGCAAACACTCTTCTTTTTTTTTTTCTCATACTAAAACATAAATCTAAATTTTGATATGATGAAGATAAAATCAATTATTAAAACTAAATCTTGATATCTTTGATTAAATGAGATTTGTATTATTAGAATATACTGTCATCTAAGAAGTTTAAATTTTGGAATCATTTAAAAGTAAATAGTTAAAAATTGAGCCATGGAAATCCATCAAATTCACTAATTAATGAAAATGTAATAACAGCAACAAAAATATGTATGTATACACCCTCCTTTAAATTGTTCAAACCTTCTTTAAATCAAAAGAATTCCAATTTTTTTAGATTTAACGACTCTACGTAAACCCCCTGCAAAATACCTAATTGTTTGTCTTCTTCTATACGGTGTGGCCCGCAAAAGATTATATTCCTGCCGTGAGCAGCAAGCAGCAAGTCAAAAATGTCTGACCAGAAAGGAACGACGTCGTAGCAACTTTTGAAGCAATATAAAAGACTTTCCTCTCTTGAGGAGCAAACCTTTGGTCGGTCGATCGAGAGAAAGCAGACGGATTGAGGAAAGTAGGACATAAAAAGGAGAAATGGAACAGGA